GTTGAGCTTACACGCTGCACTGTCAAGGTTCGATTCCCGCTGGAGGTGTTGATAAGATCTAGGCAAGGTTGAAACTTCGGTCCATTCCAGCCTGGATAAGATCACTTTTGGGGAAGGGAAGGCTCTGTGAAATTTAATGGAAATGTCAGCTCTAGTCATATCATTGTGGGAAAATTCATTTACCGGTCATTCATTAGCTTAAATGAAATATAGTTGGCACAACTAATGAAATCTATTGTTAGGGGGACCTTCATTTCGAATGAAAGTGCACGAAGAAGAGATCCGTATGAAAGAAAATTAACCAAACCACTCAATTTAGGTTTTTAATTTTTAATTTTTTGACTCGATTGAGTCTTTATAAGAAGTAAGATAGGGCCGGATAGTGTTCTTGATTTAGTGTTAACGTGAGACTTTTATAAGAATGACACCCAGCTCTGATGATGTCCATCATCACCCGAAACGAGGGAGGAAGTCTTGTGGACTGTGCCAAAATGAATATTGTATAAAAGCCAGACGGCTGCGGTACAACGAGTTTCACCTGTCCTTATCTGGTGAGATCGACCAACGAATCTCTTCTTCATGTACTTTAATTTGAAATGAAGGTTTCTCTAACCATGTTATCTGAGGAGATTCACCGAAACCAAGTTTCTCTTTGTATCTATAATGAAATCTAGTTCCAGTCGACTTTTATATTGCTGGTGTGCACATCAAATAACAATTGTTCGATGTGAGTACTTCATGAATAAGAACCCTCATATCGTTTGCGTAGACTTCTCGATGTTAGTGTATCTCACGAAGACTTTATTCAAAAAAGATTTTCTCATTCACACTGGAAATCCTTCTCGACTTCGCCTAGATTAGTCTCATCAGCACCCCAAAGGGAATTCTAAAAAGAGTCAATCGTATTGTAGCCACACATCATCGCTGCTCCATACAGCCACCGGTATCAGGGTGTCACAGGGCAAATGCCTCCTTCGAGGCAAGCATCTACGGTGGAATGAAACAAATGTGTAATTTCCATTGCAATTGGACACATTATGCATTTTTAATCTATATATGTTCTTAAACTAGGAGTATTTCTCAAATAAAGACTAAGTCACCCTAGACCACTTCAAGTGTTTTAAATACATTTGACCCTGTGCATTACTGGCACGGATGACTATATTGTTATGGGGTCTGCTGTCGCCGATTGAAAAGTTCGAACCAGTTTAGAATAATTTCTGAGATGAGTATGAGTCTGAGGTGGGGTAGAAGGTGAAGTCCGGCCTGAAACAAAAAGTATTTTGCCAAGCAAGCCTAAGTGAAATTGGAAGTGATTTGCGACACATTTCACACATATCTTTTGTGAGCCCCACTCTAAGGTTTACAAGACAGAGATACAAGAAACGAAAGAAATGGTAGCTTCGTAGGTTGTCATTAAAGCTTGTAAAACAGGAAATGTAACAAGATGTGAAGAGTGGAGACCTGCCGCGAATAAATCAGCTAATGTAATGATTTGCGACACATTTCACACTTCTCTTCTGTGAGCCCCACTGTAGGGTTTACAAGACTATCTGCCTCGGATACAAGAAGCTTCGCTCTTAACTTGACTTCTTGGTTCCATGCTTATTAAGCCTTAGCTGAAGCAGAATCAGAGATCCGCCAGTTCAGAGATCACTCAATGACCATCCTTAAGCATCACCTTGAAACAATTTAGCTTTAGATAGCACCTTCGTGACACAATACAGCTCTCATTTGTCAGTAAACTTAACGATATTAGAAGTGGGTTGACCTCGTCGTTGCAACTTGGTCTTGTTGTCAGAGCGACTTAATAGAGCGCATCTAGTCCGAAGTCGTCTGCCATAGCAGTTGTCATGATTCATAGGATCAGACAGTTGACTTGGTACATTCTCAATGAGTTTTGCCGTTCTCCGCACCAAGCACGAACTCGTCAAAGAGACAAGTGAAGTCAATCCATCGACAAACATTCTGCCGAAAACGGTTACGCTATCACTCCTCTTCCTGTTCTGGCTCATCTATCAACTCTTATCCAACACCCGCCCTATCACAAATTCTGACTTGTTCACATTCTACTCGTCAAAATGTGTGCCCTTTTGTGGCAAATCTAGTGTGGCCTCATCACACTTGCCATTCGGCAGAACGTTTGTCGAGGGATTGAGTTCACTTGTCTCTTTGACGAGTTCGTAGCTTGGTACGGAGAATGGCAACACTCACTGATGATCCCGACTACGATACCAAGTCGACTGTCTGATACTGGGAACCATGGCGACTACTATGGTAGACGACTTCGGGCTAGATGCGTTATACTAATTCGCCCTGACAACAAGACCAAGTTGTGACAACGAGGTTAACCCACTTCTATACATCGAAAGAAGACTGCGACCATATCAAAGGACGCAACATCTTGGTCTTCATATCTTTAATTAACGATATTACTTTAAACAAATTAAGTAGTATGAAAGCATCAATATTTTTCTATTAGAAACTTGTTCGCATAAGGAATGGTACTTGATCATGCCCTACAAAATTAAACCATACTGAACAGGCGCCTCTTGGCGATAGAAGAGGTGTGACTTTTAAGGTAAGTCAGTCCCATTACTCACATTTACTACTCGTATTGGTCAGTAAATCTGACTATATTACTTTGGACAAATTGAGTAGCATTAGAAATTACCAAAGTTTTTATATAATACACATGGCAACATAAGGTAGAGGTGTTAACAACGAAATGAATTGTAATTCCCAGTTTATACTCGACTAGTTACATGCTGTCATCTGATTGGAACTGGCCAGTCTTGAATTCTGTCGGAAGTATGTTAGGTTTAAGCAAATGATACTTTCAAGATGCTACATAATTTGTCTTTATTTGCTGTAAAATTGCGACATCGTCTTATCTAAACCATCAGCGAACGCTTATGCTTGCCTTTTCGCACCAGAGCGAAGCAACCCATTTGCAGAAGAGCCAACCTGGAGCATTGATTCTAGCTTTAGTGGGGGCGTATTCGAGGTCGGAGTGCCAACGAGTCCTAGAGAAGGGGAGGTGAACTCGGTTTGGTCTCTAGACAATGTCTTGAAGCTATCCGGAAGGCGGAAATACGAATGGGTTTACCAGGATTCTTTCCCTCATCCGAGGTTGGGCACAGCACTAGTCGTGGCTCTCCAGGCGTAGTTGTGTGCTTCTATAGGAGCCTCAGTGTGTCTGTGATGGGCACACGGAATCATATAGTGTCCTCCAGACAGCAATGGGACTTGCTGCGCAAAATCAGTCTAGTCTATCCTGTAGCCGTCTGCGAAGCGGCTCGTGCGGGGCCTCCTTCACTGACTTTCCAGGTTGACAGTATCGAGAGCCTTATCATTGAGTACATCAGCGCTCCTTGAGAGGATGTTGAGGGCGACATGTGTCTCCGACCCCCGCCCGTGGGCAAATAAATTGTTCAAATGTGCACATCCGACGCGAATGGTCGTCACAGAAATAATGTGTCCGTTGTACTGTTTCAATGAAATGATAGCCTAGGCACTGCCCTCGATAAAATTAGAATCATCGATATGAAGCCGCCTGTGGGGGAGTGAAAGACGAGATGAAAAAGCCAAACATGACAATACCCACCCGTAGGATGTGTTGTCAGGCTGACTAGAACTCTTGTTCGTTATCACTCGGCCGGCCTACAGGCAGGCACGCATGCATACAACCGAAGGGGTAGATAGGCCGGGCAAACAGAAAGACAAGAAACGAAAAAATGATAGCTTCATATAAATAGTAGATTGTCATTAAAGCTTGTAAAACAGGAAATGTAACAAGATGTGAGGAGTGGAGACCTGCCGCGAAAAAATCAGCTATAAATAGATGTAATGATAGATGGGCACATCCACCTATTTATAAATACGAGGTGTAAGAAGACATGGATAGATAGTCGCGAGCACCAGATGTTTCCGAATAGTAGGTGTCCATCTTTGAAAGCAGGCATTCATCCAGAAAGTTAAATAAGTTAATACAAATCTTGACATTATTCGAGGTTGCACAAGTGGCATGAGTGTCAAACATGCACGCTAATTTGACTGAACAGTTCTATTTGATAGAGCTCTGCGATGATATTGCATGGTCTGATAGTCTCTCATCCACGACTTACTGGCGATCCAAATGGGTCGCGATCAACTTTGTGCAGAAACATAGTTCTGCTGGTTATGGCTGATTTTGAATGCGAAGAAAAGTTGGGTTTCCAAGAGTCTGTTGTTTCATAATTGTTGGGCTCACTTCCTTTTCGAGTGAAAGTGTTGGGTGAAGAGATTCGAAGGTCGGTTCCACCAGAAGACAAAGCAGATTCCTCTTGACCAGCTGTCGATTGGCTTTACTGGAAGATTCATGCTGACGCTGTTTCCGAGGCAA